TCACCTTCATTCAATGTGAAACCTTTCTGAGACAAGTTTTCAAACTGAACCTCTTTAGCAAAATCCACTCAGCCAAACAATGGCTTATTGAGGAGTCACTAGGTATAAAAGCTTTTGCTAACTGATGGGGAAAGCAGAGCTAGACGCATCAGACACAATTCCTGACCTTGAAAAGCTCAGTTTTGTCGGGAAGCCAGACAGAGCTAATGATAATGCAAGGCGAGATGAAATAAGTGCTGTCATTAAGTTACCCACCACGCATCGCGGCACTTCAGCAGAAGCTACAATTAACTCTCACGCGGACAGCTTCATGAACGTCAACTGAGGCTCAACCCCAGGTCCACCTTCCATGTCATCTCATCCATGCCTGGGTAGCATGGTAGTGTAAGGGGAGAAGAGAAACCTGAGTTGGTGCTGGGGCCCACAGTGGACAACTGAGAATTCCACTTAACAAGGTTGGAAGAACACCAATTGCAAGGTGTCCCACATTTCCCCAGCACTTGTGAGAAGCACCATTTCCACAAAACTAGAGCTACGGCCACTTCCTTCTCCCCTAACTCTTTACATGGGAGCGGGGCACAGAAGGGAGTCTTTTCAGCGTTTGGGAAGGGAAGTTACCCCCTTTCTCCACCATGGTGGGTGAGGTGGACATTAGACCAGACAGAACATCCCTTTGAATTCCTGGTTCCCAAGAGGTGTGAAAGAGCATCCCACTGATTCTCTGGGGCCTAGAGATGGGGGACAAAGGGTGGAGATGGTCTATAGGCTCCGGCTTCCCCAGAGGCACGTGGTGTGGCGCTGCCATCCTGGGGTCAGCGGGAAAATGCAATTTCATCTCACAAGGCCTCACCGAGCCTGGGGGAGCTGCTTGAGACTGAGGGCCTGACAGCAGGACCTGTGGAACCACCACTGTGGATAGTGCGACCTCAGACAGTGCTGATGACCAGACAGAAGGGCAGCAGGCTCACTGATGTGCCTTCTCACCTCAGGGAACAGAGGGAACGGCCCACAGTGAGTAGGACATGGGATCAGCACGGGCTGCCTTATCTGAAGGTCTGTGACCTCTCCTTCCTCCCAGAGAGGCCCCACAGGGAAGGAGAACAACTAGGAACTGAGAAAGTAAAACCAGCTTCATGCCTGCTCTTCAAGGGCCACCTTGCTCCAGAGGAGAAGGGAGAACCTCGAATTAGATCTGAGCATGGAGTTTTACAACAGCCTGGACTTGGGTGTTTGTAACCCAGTGACAAAAAACCAAGAGACCAGATATCATTAGGGAGATTGCCAGCTGACAGGCTGGGAGTAGCACAGACTAGCAGGAGGCGGGTGTTGGCTAGAGAAGATCTTCCTCTACTGAAGCCACAGGTACTAAGACTCCTCAATCAGAAGGGGGCACATGGTGTGGCAGGACATGGACACCAGGAGAACGAGAGTGACTGCTCAGCCACAGGGTTCTGTTTCACACCTATCCCTCCTGATGTCTCGTGGGGAATCTCCAATAGGCCACAGACATGTTGACGTTTATTAATCAACACTCCAAGCCAGTGCTTCCTCCCCCTGACTAAGCACACACATCACCTGGGAAGCTTGTGAAAATGCGGACACTGATTCAACAGGTCTGTGGAGGGGCCTGGGAGTCTGCATTTCTAACAAACTCCCAGGTGAGCCTGATGCTGCTAGTCCAGGAACCTCTGGATGCAAAGGTTTTCTGAGCTCCCATGGCCCTTCCCTGTATTACAACTCTTCGTATGTTGTTGTTAGGTGCCATCAAATTGGTTCCAACTCACAGTGACCCCGTGTACAACAGAATGAAACACAGCCTGGCCCTGTGCCGCCCTCACAACTGTTGCTGTTTGAGCCCGCTGGAGCCACCGCGCCAGTCCCTCTCATTGCGGCTTTTCCTTCCTCCTCCTCTTCCTCTTTTCCTCTACCTATTATTTTGGAAATAGTTACTTTCACCTAACAGATTCTAAGGGCCCGGGTGACAGGAACAGGGTAGGATACATGTGTCTCAGCTCAGTGCTTGGGATAGCACCAAACAAAGAGTAGTCATCTGTTAAAGTTTTATGAATGAACTAGCAGATGAAGTGCTTCCACTAACTAGGAGCTCAGCCAAGGTGGAATAGACAGATTTGTGACAAAACCAAAGAATGTCCCAATTCTACACCATGGCTCAGCCACCACAGGCACACACAGTCAGACTTTCCTGACCACCTATCTTTACTGAGCACTCGATAAGTGGAAACTATCCTCCCCAGAGCTACTAGGGTCAGATAACATCCCAGGGAAACAGAAGGTGAGAAAGGGCGTGTGTACCATGGAAGGTGAAGACTGCTGAGTTCTCAAGGTGAGTGGCATCAACCTGAAGAGAGAGGAAGGGAAGGTCATATGCTGCAAACCCTGTCAGTGTTTGCGTGTTCACGCAGCCACAGTCCCGGAAGCATGGGGCAAGAGGGGCAATGTCATGGAGCCAGGCCTTCCTGTGGCTCAAAGCCCCAGAAAGCCAGTGTTCCCCCTCCCTCACACCCAGGACCCCTTGATGCACAGGTATCTCAGGCCTTCAGTTGGGAAGCCCACCATGTAGCTGGGCTGGAGTAGACAGAACTGGGTCCTTCAGGCCAAAACCTCGGCACAGGGAAAGCCCAAACATTCAGACAACAAATCATGTCAGTTGTTCAGCCAATGATGAGCATCCTTGGACCCCTTAGGATTGATTCACGTGCAGGGTCAAGTGTTCCGACGAGTGATGTACCCAGCCAGGAAGCTGGGCCAGCTGTTAGCTCTGCTACTGTATATGATCAAAGACAAGCGCAACGAACAGAAACTAACTGTGGTGGAAACTGATTAGGGGTTATCACTAGGTTTTAGGGGACCATTCTGGACTCCCCATACAGTGCCAGGGGTTTGCAGTCCCAGCTGTTCCAGATACCATCCCTTCATCAAATGTTCTCAGATTCCTGGAGTTCCTTATCTATTAAGACACAGCCATCCACAACCCAGCTTACGCAGCCCACCTTCACCTTTTCCTTAGTTGACATGTGCAATCAAAGTGTCCCCTCTGATGCTGGGATTCTCCTGTGCTGACAGGTGGAAGGTCACAAGCTGCTGAGGGTCACGAAGGGAAGGTGGGCGGGAGGGGTAGGAAATCTCCCAGGGAGGGTTTCTAGGCTACGGATGAAGGTTGAGGCACCAGCTGGCATCCTGTAGCTCGCTAGTACAGTTCCCCCCCTGCAGACATGAGCTGGACACCATCACATGGTGGAAGGGGCTGACATGAGACAGGAGATGTAAATGCTGGATGAGAGGAAGCACTTCTGTTTCAAAATGTCCGCTTGGAAAGCTGTTCAGAAAACACCAGGCGCCGTGGTGTCCAGCCAGGCAACGTGAACTCAAAAACTCACCTAAAATGCTTTGAGCTGGTCTTTGGCTTCTCTTAACATGTCCCATAACCTCCAAAGGCCATAGTTATTACAAGGGGTCCTAGCACAGGTCATGGTCATTGCAGCAGCATTTTCCCAGCATTCTGAACTCTGTCAAGTGCTGTCACATGACTGGTCCATTGTCAGTCTGACATCATGCTAGTTGGGAGGGGCTTTGCCTCTCTGGGCTGCAGTGTCCCCGTCTGCATGGTGGGCAGGTGGGATGCAGCCATCTCTCAGGACAGACTCGAGTCCATCAACATGAACACGTGAAAGTTTTGCTCTGGGTCCCTGTTGCCCTCACGGTGAGCTGGGAGCCAGTGCATGTTTAGCACCTACAGCGGGTGGGTCCTGTCCCCTGCCTTCCAGGCCAGAGTTCCCAGACTCAGGGTGAAGACTGGTGCCTCCAAGGTCAGACACAGACAGATGTCTAGGTAAACACTCGCCTCACTGCGTCATCTTGCTCCGACCCAAAGTCATCACCACCTACAGCAGGCATCAATTACGACCCCACTTCAAAGAACCTTTCCAAATTGTAATTTGCAAGCTTCCGGCAGCTGAGACCAAGCTTGTCTCATTCACCGTATGTCCCCAGGGAAAGGAGGATTTGGCACTCGGTAGGGGTGCAATAAATATTTGTTGGATGAACGGTTCCATGACTAATGCCTGTACACAGGAGGTGGCTCATTCGCCCTGGGTTTCCCCACAGAAATAGGACTCACTTAAGAAGAGTGAAAAAACACAGGGACAGAGCCACTACTTGTCTGGGAGCCCCTGGCAGGTTCCAACCTCCCAGGCTCACGGTCTCTGTATCTATGTGGTGGTCAGGAGACCCGGGTGAAGGTCCCAGCTCAGTCATGTTTTTGCTGGGTGACAAGTCAGTTAGCTTCTCTGAGCCACAGTTTATTTCCTGGTTATAAAGTGGGGCCGATCAGACCAGCCTCCCAGGGTTGTGAGCTAGGCAGCAACGTGGTAACGGGAGAGGACAGAACATGGTCATTGATAGGTTTTAGCCCAACGTTCCCAACACAAAGACCACTGGATGGCACTGATTTTTAAATTATTTTTTCTCATCTGTATTTTTAAGGGGTCTATCTCCCCCTTTTTGTACTGCTCCCTGCATGTATGAGACCAATGTGGGTACAGTAACAAAAGGCCCTACTTTTTCAATTACTTTAGAAGAAGCATGTTTGGCAGTGTGTTGCCCACTGAAAGACCCAGAAGGTTTCATGGCTACAGGTTATTCTCTAAAAGCTTCCTTCTAGGCACTTAAGGTCTATACACAGGCACTAGAAGACATCAGAGAGGACATTTATGGATTGAAGGGGCCCAAGACAAAGGGTGATCTTTTTCTCCGAGCCGCTCTTCAAGGCAGTGACTATGTCTACTTACTGGCATTTTGCAGTGTGGCCGGGGAGGTACTGGGAAAATGGCCTGTGGGAGATGAGAATAAGAGAGATGAGACCATCAAGCCCACCTGACCCCAGACGCTGGATTCTTGCTTAGGTCAGTACATTCCACACTTCCCTGCCAAAGGTCCCCTCCCTTCTCCCAACTTACTCCTTTGATATTAATCACAGCTCCAGGTGGTCCTGGGGGGCCTGGAGGCCCAGGTAAGCCAGGTGGGCCCTGCGGAAGGAAAGAAAGGCTGCTCTTGAGACAAGGTGGCTGTCAGTGTGCAGGCAGCTGCAGCAGTGTCCCTCAGGGCTTGGGAACACAATGAGGAAAGTGGGGTCCCTGAAGCCACCCAGCTTCTCCATGGGTGCACCATCCCCTTTACAGAGCACTTCTATGTCTGTGACCTTGCACTTCACAACAAACCGTACGGGGGAGAGCAGAGCAGCTATTACCCCTGCTCCATGAATGACGATAACGAAGCCCAGTGAGGAGAGACCTGCTCAGGGTCACACAGCATCCTGAGGCAGAACTGAGATTGGAACCCAGCTTCTGCCTCCCAGGGTGCTGCCCAGTCGACACTGAGCCGACGTCCTCTCTGTCAGTGCGTCTCAGTGTGGAGATGGGGTAGGAGCAGGGGTCTGTCACGTGGCAGCAGAGAGGCCTCATCAATGCGAAGTGGGCCACTCTGATTAACTACCAGAGTCATGGTCAAGGCTGGATCACTCTGCCCATAGTACCCTGCAACTCTCTCTCCTTCAAACCTGGAGCCCAAGAGGGTCCCTGTCACAGGGGCGGAGGCTCTGATGAGAAGCATGAGTTCAGCCCATGTGGAAGCTGAATTGATCACCCCACCCGAAGGCACTGGTGCGTGGTTTACCTAACAGAACCTGTGGGCTTGGTGAGTGTCGGTCAGTCCCCGGTGCTTCAGTAAAATGCTACTTTTCGATTTCTGGACACTGGAAGTGGAGGCACTGTGGCATGTATGAGCTACACTGACAGTGGACTTAGAGCTGTGTTTGCATTTTGGGTTGGTGACCTGGGGTGGTGACGTAACTTCCACAGGTGCCAGTTTCCTCTTGTGTACAAGGAACCCACAGAGTGTCTCAGGCGGTGGTTATTATCAAGACTGAGATACTGTCCTGAAAGGCACGCAGGTAAACACAGGTGCTTGAGAATCACTGGGTTTCTTTCAGCCCCTGTACCCTGCTGACGCCCCAGTGCACTGCCGTCCTGGGGGGCTCTGCCCAACAGCTGACATCCCTGGGATACTCACAAGGATTCACTGAGCACCTACTGACGTGTGAAGTCCCCGGGATGTGCAGAGGGAGACGGGGCATTTCACCACAACACTCAGAAGGCCTGAGATCTGTAGCCAGATTTCCCGAGCACACCCAGGGCCTCTTCCTGCTACCCTCCCTCGGGCCTGGATAGGGAAGCTTATCCTCCCCCGAGCTGTTTAGGTGGCAGGGTCCCTCCTGAGAGTGCGTGGGGGACAAGGCTAGGTGAGAGGATCTATGGAAGCGGCAATGGAGAAAGGAGAACATTCCCAAGCATTCATCTGCAAGCTCGTTCTCTGGACCGGGCACCTCTCGCCCTGCCTGTGCACACAAGCCTCCCCGGCTCCTGCCACAGGATGGCGTGGCCGAGGGGCCGTGGGCGTGGCACTCACCGGCATCGTGACCCCTCTATCTCCTTTGGCACCCTTGAGGCCGTTCAGTCCTGGGCGACCCTGAAACCCACACGAGGCACTTTAGCAAACCCGCTGCCCACATGTCAGCCAGGCCCACGTGCCCTTTTGTATCCCGTTGGAGGACGCTGATACCTACAGGTCGTCCGGGGAGGCCAAATTCTCCTTTGAGTCCCGGTGGTCCTCTGGGCCCCTACAGGCAGAACAAACGCAGGATTAGGGAACAATAGACGCTCAAGGTCCATGGCGGTGGGGAGTACCCAGCTCGCCTTTGTGAGCAGTGGCAAGGGGTGAACTCCAGGTAGGAGAAAGGACAAGGACAAATGATGATGCAACCACTTACCCGGCTCGTCTCCTGCCGATTCCACCCCCTCCCAGACCCTGTAGCTCTGTCATCGGGACCAACTAAGGAGTCACACAGCCCGAGTTCCCAGGTGGCCTGGTGCCGGGCCAGCTCAGAACGTGGACCACGGCCCTGGTCTTGTGCACCAGGCCTCCCGCGTGCCCCATTCTGAATGCTCCATCCCTGCCTCTACCTTCACGTCTGCCCTGCGAGACCCTATTCCGCGTTTCGGTTCCTGCCTTGCTTCTACCAGCCTTGTCCTGGCCCTCCTGTCCCACACCTGAATTCCTGGCGTGTAGCCTACCCCAGCCCTGGCGGTCTGGACTCTCACACCTCCAGAGCCGCTGCCTTCCTCTAGCCTCCTGAAGGAACCCTCATGCCCCCGGGTCAAAGAAGTACACTACCTGGCCTAGCCGCCACCAGTGAGGCACCAACTCCCAGAACATGTTCCACCTCGAGTCTGGGCCCACCCTCTCTTGGGCCACACCCTTTGTGTTTTCACAACTGGGACAAGGAAATCTAACACAGCCCAAGTGTGCCAGATGCTTCGAGCCCCAGTCTGAGAGACACTCCACTTACCATTGGCCCTGGGGACCCGTGCACTCCAGGTTCACCCTAAAACAGGGAGACGGGTTCTAGTTAGTCAGAGAAACACTGCTCGAGGTAGAAGCAAAGATGAGAAGCCGAAGCAGATGTGTGCCCTCAGGGCCTGATGACATTACTACCTTTCTCCCCTTCAGTCTTTCCACAGGGATGTCTCCAGTCAAGATGGCGCCAGGCTCTCCCTTCTCACCCTGCAATTCAGAGAACCTTTCAGTGAAGTTGGGTCTCCTCTTCACCACCTTGTCCAGAGAGTCACTAAGGCCTCACACCTTCTGCTGCCACCATTTCTCTTGCCATCATTCCACCCATCCAACACTGCTCAGATACCCCCTCCCACCGAACCTCCTCTGAATTATTCCCACCATGAGCCGTCAGAGTCACTGTCCTAGAGCACAGGGCACGGTTTCCTGGCCCTCCATGGCTCCCACTGCTGGCAGATCTACATCCTCACCTTCAGCCCTCCCAGATCCAGCCCCAGCACGGTCCTGTCCACCCTTTCTTGTACATCACCCCTTCTGAAACTTCTTGCCTCCAGTGTATTTGTTGGCCTGCTCTCATGATGACTCAGTTTGAGGTCTGCCCCTACCAAGAATCTTTATTCTTGTTAAAACAACTGAAACTGGGCCAGGAGAGGCAGGAATGAACACTAAGGCCTCTCACGATATAGGGCTTTGTGTCTCCATGTCTATGCTCCTGCAACTCCAGCTCCCATGCAAACATTCACTGTGGTCAGGCAAAGCCACCCCTCTGGTGAGAAAGGGGACAGATGGGCGAGCTGGGGAGCACAAGGCCTTGCCCCAATGCTGTCCTCAGCAGAGCTAACTACTGTCCCAGGGGACTTCTCAGAAGATCTATGGTGTATCTGGAGCAGAAGGCCAGGTGGAGAAACCATTTCTAACATTGTCAGGCTTTGGCCACGAACTTCAACGTGGGTTCCTGGAGAGCTGGGCTGGACCACAGTGAAGACTCCTTTACAGGGCTGGGGGCAGCCAGGGGAGGGGCTCCAGAGCCGAAGAGCAGCCTCTACTGCTCCAGCCTCTTAAGCCCACACTTGGAATTTGGGTCTTACCACTCCGCTGATGAGGAAAGGGGTCCAGAGCACGCTGACAGCAAGAAGCAGCAGAAAAGCATTAGAGGCAGAGCGAGAGAAAGCGCGTTAGCTGCGATGGCCCGGGCAGAGCGGTCTGGGCGCCCATCCAAGTCTCTCAAGGTGGCAGGAGGTCAGTGGTGGGGGGTGGCACACAGGTCCCTCTAGATCCATCTGCCCATGCCACATGAGAAACAGGGAATTTAAAGCAAGAGGCATTTAAAGCACTCTTGCCTTCACAAGAGAGACATGATTGGGCCTCCTCCCAACCAGAG